GCAATGCTCTTCAGTGGCTACTCTCTCAGCCAAATAGCTAAGCGTTTCCTTGGGATTACTCCAAACTCTGCAACAGTATCTACTGATTTTGCTTCTTTCATCTTTTCTCTTTTAAGGAAGAATGTTTTAAAGGTTTTTTTAGCTTGGGTCTTTGCATTACGGGCTATTCCTGACCTCTTCACTTTAAAATCTGAGTTAATCTACTGGATTTTGCCTTGTGAATGCCAGTCTACTTGGAATATTTCAAGGGGAAAATGGAAATTTTTGCAGGCCTGATTTAGTCAAATAATGGTGCCATTATCTGAATACATATGTGGAACATAGCTGAGACTCCTCTATTATTTATTCCAGTAGCGAGCTGGCCACTTCTTTCCTACTTTGTATGTTTTGGTTTTTAGGCTGACACTTCGTGAGTTAGATGAAAACTATGTACTCTGTGAAGGTCTGTCTTGATAACTGAAGGAGAACAATTGCTTATGTTTTATACACTGACTCTGCAACCTGCTAGACTGAGCAGCAGTGGACAGTAAATATGTTTTGTTTTTTTCATGAGCTACTGGAATGCCATTTGCCCTAGCATGCACTGACCACTGCTTTGTGCTCTGCCCACAAAGTCTAACAATTAGTAGTCTCTTTCTCAGTTTCTTCCCATGTCCGAATGTCTAGCATTATATATCAGGGAGTTGTTTTATTTTGGATCAATTATCTAGAATGGGGGCACAGGCAGAGTAATTTAGGCCCTAACATCTTAATTTTATGGGGGGGCCCATTTAGTTCATTGTCGGCCCTTGGGGCCACCACAATTTATAAACTATACTTAGAAATGAATGCTTGACTAAGGAAGGAAGGAAAAAGAAGAAAGTATGCTTATTGAGAAGTACAGATCCGAGCCAAAATCCTTCCTAGAGTATGTCAATTTTGCATGTCCACTAATACGTTCATGGGTAATCTCACATTGCTGGGAAAGTCCTTATGAGTCTTCATTTTTGCTATTAGAAATCCTGATGCAAAAGAACGCTATAGAATATGAATTCTCCAAGCATGCGACTTTCACTGAAATAATAGTTTGCTTCAGCCACTTTCTATCTGAGGAATAGTCAGCTGAGCTTTTAATCAAAGCTGTGCTGACATCATCCATAATTCTGAAATGCACACAAAGCAGCACTGCCAAGCTACAGAACTATTCAAATGAATGGGGGGGTTGTTAGGCAAAAGCATTCGTTTCAGTTTCACTTGAAATACTAAAGTACATCACTAGTTGCCAAATGTGAAGAAAAATGTTGGAGAGGTAACTGCTGATGTTGCACATGGAATAAAAAGAAAAATGAAATGCTATAAAAGGCTAATGGAGGTTTTCCACTTTTATCCTCAACTAATGTTTTATTTTGAAACTGTATGTGCATAACAGATTTCATAAGGATCCCTGTTGACCTCTAATCTCAGTTTTTGTACATGTGGTCATAGTAACTGCCCATGCGTGTGATTCATCAGGCATCTGACTGCTCATTCTAACATATCACTACTGTGATTGCTTATAGCTCACAGTCACTGCCCACACCAAGTAAACACACACATACCTTTCGCACATGGGCAATATTGAAAGTTTACGGGCCAGATTCTGTATTGTGTTCCAGCTGCACTGGGCCACTCAGGAAGCCTTCATTTGCCAGCAGAGAATTGCCTTGGTGCATATAAAGCTGTCAAGAGATAGCTCGCGCACCAGCATTCCCAAACATGCTCTAAGCAAGAGACAAAGGGAGCAGCAAAAACTGCAACACCAGCCACATAAATAAGAATGTTCTGACACGCAGAGGAGCCAAGGTGGGGTGCAACGATCTTCCCCTTCTCTTCCTAGGAAGAGTTCAGATATAAAAGGGCCCTAGATCTTTACCTTGTATCTTTCCTCTACTCTACTTGCAATATATACTGAGATTCTTGATCACCTGAAGAGCAGTGAAAAGAAATGCTACAAAAAAAAAAAAAAAAAAAAAAAAAAAAAAAAAAAAAAAAAAAAAAAAGTATTTTTAAAATGTTAAAATTTATTCATTAAGATCTATATTTTATTGCTTTTTCTGCTGATCTGGAAGACAATAACATTATTTTAATAAGCTGTTTACCTAGTGATTGCTATCTTAGCTATAGTGATGGCCTCTTTCACAGGCTCTTCTCCTAATGGAATATTGTAGCTCCTCTGAAAATTTGTTTCATGAATCACAGTGCTTTGAATCACCAGGTCAGAATTTCAGCTACTCTTCCGCAAATTTCTGTGTCTCTCCCTACAGCTTTTCAAGTGGACTCTAGCTGCAGCTTCAAAGAAAAGCTATTTCACCTCCAGTCCTGCTCAGCTGGAACTAGTACATTTGCAATTTACTATCATTTGACAGGTTGGATTTGAAAGCAAAGGATGTATTGGAAATTGGCTGAAAGATACAAAAAACGTACTCAGCAGTACACTTTCTTTTTCTTGGCAAACGTCTTCTCTGTGTGCTTAGTGCCCTGTCTGGTGTCTGATGGAATGATTTAATAATAACCCATGATTTCAGCCACAGTGAAGGCTGCACTGGGGGCTATGTGTTTATGCTGCCAGAGCAGAGAGAATCAGCACGGGAGAGAGCTGTGGCTCTGTAAAGACTGGCCTGGCTTGCTCTAAGAAATTACCTTCAAACTAAAATGCATTTAAGTTTTCTAGGCTGTATATTCATATGTTTTATATACATATGTATAACATTATTTTTAGAAGTTTTTTCCTACTGAGAGTAGTAGGGTCCTTTTTTTAACACATACCTGGCAACTCTGCCTTCTGCAGAGCTCATCAAAGTACTTTTAAAAAGTGCTGGTCTTAAAATAGACGGAACTATTCCAATCTTCAAGTCAAATAGAAGCTTAAATTCCTTGCTGGACTAAGGAACAAATGGGGAAACCTTTCAGTCCTTGCCTATGTCTCCTTCCTTCTCCAAATCTTAACTCTTCAAAGCTTTGTACACGTCTGCCCTGTATCTCTTTGCCTGGCCAGCTTCTGTCTCAGCCTACTTGTGTGACTGGCCCTTTACCTCCTTGTTTTCTCCCTTGCTTCCCCAGAAGATGGGAATAGCTGCTCTGGGTGCTCATCAGGCTTCAAACTTCACAGGAGCCCACTAATCCAGAAACACATCAACTTTGAAAGACAGAAGGAAGGCCATACCAACTCCCCGGATTTGATAACACTCACCTTTGGGCAAGTTCAGGCCCCAAGCCCAATCTCGTGGTTCAATTTCATTGCAAATAAAGCCTGCCTACTTTGTAATGTCACTAGTCTTTTGGCTATAACACACGTTTGAAGCCAGGCGACCTGTGTCCTGCTTAGTTTTACCGCTCTCTCTCTGCATGATGCTGGTAGGTTGACATTAAATGCCTTGCACACCGTTCGTGCCATAGCTGTAACGACTGCAAGAGCAAACCACGATCATTCTCTCCGATTCCTGAATACTAGTTGTTACACAGACAGTCTGAAGCACAGAGGGAGGCATCTGCATTTTTGCAATATAGATCAGGGCTTAAAGTCAGATATTCCCCTGTGGTTCAGTCAGGCCAGGTAGGATCCGGTCTCTTAACTTATCAGGTTTTAATACTGGTATTTTTTCTGGACTTTGTCCTTTTCCAATCAGTCTTTATAAGAATATAAGTGACTTTGCCAGCTTTTCTATGAAATGCATTATCCAAACCGGCCTCCTGAGGCCACTGGCTTTTCATTATTAGGGTCGAAGTACAACCACCAAAATGACAGTCAGCTGCACTACTTTATTTTCTGATTCAGCAACTTCATAGCAGAGGAAATGTATTTCATCCATACATACAGCAATGTGAGAGGAAACCACTTCCCACATACACAAGTCCCTGACTCATTCCTTTCAAATGTGGCCGCAGCAACTACAGAATTCTAAGAGAACACACTCGGATACCCCCGACCCTGCCTTTCCCTTGGATCAGGAGGAGAATCACAGCGAGGTGTGGTGTTGTAACCAGGGCTCAGATTGGAAATCTGAACCTCTGGGTTTTGTCTCCAGTTCAATCACTGTTTCCTAATCTTGGGCAAACTGCTCGCTACACTTAGGTTTATCCATGAGTAAAACAGGCGTTAAAAAAATGCAACTCTACCTCATTTTGGGTCTGTCTTACTGTGTTGCTAGATGGGGGGGCCCACTGACGTCTTTAATGTATGTCAAGATCCAGAGATCAAAAAGCATACAACGGCAAAATACTAACATTATTGCACAACTGTCATTTATCTGCTTTTGGTAATATGAGTCTTCCTGGAAAAGGAGAGACCTGATATTTGCAACAATGATATTTTGTTTACTCCATCATAGGTAAACAACAAAGGAGATCAAATCATTCAATATGTTAAGTAGAAGAAAAAGTCTAAGCCTTACTGCATATGTTTCATAGCTAGTCACACTTCTACACAGGCAGAACTAATCCCAGCAAATTGAGAGGTTACTTACTGAGGCTAAATTTGAGCAGCAATAATTATAAGAATGGGTGAACTGTATGTTTCTCAAAGCAGTTTGATTTAGTAAATTATGCCGTTTAGAAAGCCACAATTGCTAACAGGCAAAAAAGAGAAAGTGGTTGAAAGGAGTGCAGCAGATTTACTGGATAACTGAGACCTGAGCTGAATATAGACGATCTACCACACAGCTTTGATTAGGAAAGCAGCTATTGGAAGTCTCCTGGGATTTCCATAAGGCATCTGGATCTGTAGTACATGTAACTGACCACTAAAAGGCACTGTTACATACAAGAAATCACCTACAGAATACTCGTAAGAGGATTTTAGGATTTTGCTAAAATGTAAACAATGCGGGATCTACTTGCTCAGTTATTGAATTTATATCAAGCATTATGTGACCTTCCCCATCTGCATGCAAGTGTGACTAACCGTAGTTGAACTGGTGGGTAATTTACAA